TTATACAAAATATTCATCTTTTGGAAATGAAAACTGATCTGCATACCTGTTGTCAAGGTTTTTACAGTTCTGAACAAAGTCATGAAGTGGAGATAATGAAAATATAGCATTTAGTACTGGGATGGCCACTTCTGGGCAGTTTTCCACATCCAGTCGATGAAGCAATTCTAAAACATCTCCTTCAGTCAATCGTAACCAGGCTTGAAGCAACTTCTTCTTCATTACCTCCTTAACAGCATCTAATAATACAGGAATTTAAACGGTTTAAAATGTTAAAGGTCAAAAAATACCAAGTTTTCAACATACTTCCACAAATCATTTTTCTATAGAAGGCTTTTTGGAAATAAGTTATTATATAGTTGAACGTAACATTACCTTAAAAAAAAAAAAAAAAGCAGTTAAACAAGAACTACCTATGGAGCACTACTACATTTTTGAGGCAATATATTCCCCCCCCCGCCAGGGAATTAAAAAAACAACCAAAAACCCCTCTATCCAAAAACTGTGACATCTAAAGACAGCACCTCAACCCAGAAAATCTACAAACCATGAAGTCTTGTAGAGCAAGGAAGTATTCTGGGGAAGCATTGTTACATACTTGCTGTTTCAGGGATTTAGGAATTGGCCCCTTTTGGAGGCGGGATACTACTGTACAGACCTTTACTCTGAAATGCCACATAGAATTCTTGTGTTAATTCAATTATTCAACTGGATTATGAAATTTACATAAAGATACTTTAAGGCCTGCCTCCCCATTGCCACAACGAACAAATAGTTTCTGGATCAGTAGAGTACTATTTAATCAAGGGAAATGTATTTATGGGAATATCTAGAATATGTACACCATTAATACATACACACAAATTTAAGCAGGAAAGTAGAAGGGCTAATAGTCTGGTGGAAGTAAAAACATAACTAGGGAGTGATACAAGCATGCTCTTAGAACCTTTTAGAAAGCAATATCCAATATAATGGAAACAAAGTCCACACACACTGACAACAGTCATCTTTCCTCTTCTATGTACCTTATGATAATAAAGACAGCACTTAAATATAGTCAAGAGTTCAAAAAGAGCTGTAAAAAAGGCCTTGAAAGAGCTAAATTAAGGTCCTAAGAATGAGAAACCTTTCTAAGAAGGTGAAAAGCATAAACACGTAGAATGTAGTAGAATGAAAGAGAATGAGAGTGAAGAATTGACAGCTGAATGCACACTGAAAAGTAGAACTAAGCAGAATCTGGATTATGTCTTCTAGGTCTCGTTTAATTATAAACCCTTGTTCTGAAGCCAATATGGAAAAACATCCAAAATTTCAACCTAGCAACCTTGAATAAGCAGGTTCCTCTCTTGTTAGCTTGGGAATTACTCAGATAAGCAAATTCGAGAGATATACATATTCGAGGTTATAGAATTTGCAAAACAGATCAAAATGAAGGAATACTAGTGGATACATATATAAATGCAGCCAATTTGGAACATAAACCTCCTTTGCCCAGCAAAGAGCATACGATATCAACAGTATCAGTGAGGCTACACACCCTGGCAGATATTTTCCCTTATGATTCTAGGTGTCAAGAAAAAGAGCAAGTCCTCAACAGCTGGGACGAAGAATCATCCTAAGAAAGAGACAGACACCAACAGAGAAAGTATCTGCTCTGGATCATAAAAGAAGGCAGCTCTTTTATGTCGAACACCTCAGTGTCACTGAAATACAGGCCATGTAGAAAGGCTGTACCTTCTCAGTAAGGGAATGCAACAAATCCTTGTTCGTGACAAATGAAGGATCACAGGAAAAAATAGCGAAGGTAGCTTCCCCCCAGAGTTTTGAAAGATTACTAAAACAGAAACACATTCACCCTAAGACAAAAGAATTACCTGTCAAGACCAAGTATTACTGGGGAGGCGGGGGGGGCAGGCAGGGGGAGTGGCAGCCAGCAGACAAGCAGCAGCTAGTTAGGTCAAACAGCAAACTAGTATACTGATAAGAAACAGTAATTCAGAACATGGGTTTTTCAGTGCTACACTTCAAAAACAAAACCTGGCAAACTTCATTAGACTACTATAGAACAATTCAGAGTAGGTAGGGAAAAATGTTAATTGAAACTTATTATACAGAGGGAGGACTTCTTTTTAAGTGTAGCTCTATACAGCTTAAGCAAGGACTCAGCTGATCCTCTCTTCCTTTGCTGTCAAGAACATACTAACGTGATCCCCACTAGCCAAAAAGAAAGGTAAATCAAAAAACCCACATGCATACATGACATGCCTTTAAGTGCTCCGGTTACCAGTGCACACAGTACTCTTGCCTTGTTCTCTAAGTGAATATCCACATAGGTCGTATTTCTCACAGTTCACAAGCAGCACATCACTAAGCAAGGAAAATTCTCAGAGTGAAATTCAGCAGGGCTTAGTACAGATTTTCCAAACAAAGTATGTGGATAACACAGTAGCACTTAGTAAAACTGGCAGCTTTTATTGTGAAGTTCACATATATAATTGCTATTATTGAAAAAAAAAAAAAAAAAGCCATCTTCTATGTAGGCAGGCCAAGATTGTCTCACTCAGATGCATGTGACCTTTTGATCTTTTGGCAACACCACCACACACAATTATGGGTACATTCTGAATGGCTCTTTATATAAAAATGATACAGTACAGAAGACATCAAAAAAAATAAAGCTGTTTCATGACAAAATGAATGAGGGTCAATCAAAAATTCATTAAAAAAATTCAAGGTAGTTAAACAAAAAACTAACCAGCTGAGAAGATTTCTCTCCGAACACACATAATGTTTACATTTCAATTCTTTAATATATTTATTAGTTACAAAAATATCTGTAATGAAACATGTTTCAAAATACACTGAATTAAAGAATTACATTTTTCTACTTCTGTGTTTAATTACATTGCTGTTTTTTAATTTTAATAGCATTTGGTCCTATTTTAGACCAAAAATAGGTTTCAGTTTTAGACTGAGAACAGTGGTTTTCAAGTCAGTCTTTTGAAAGTGCAATCCTCTTCGGGTTTGTCTACTACAAAGGGACTGGAAAAACAAAGCAGCAAGCAGAATTTCTTGCGCTTAAACATTTCCTGGTACCTCATGACTCCCTTTGAGCTCCTTATTATTGCCATCACAGCTTCCACATAAATCATCCCCAAAACATTAGAAAGTATTCTCTCTTAAACATTTGTATTAAGATGTTGAGGAAGGTGATCTCTTACCAGATCTGTCATTAAGTCCTTGTTGCAACAATTTCACTCTCTGCGCTATTGACAGAGCTCTCATGTGAATTTTTTCTGCTAAAACCTTAAAAAAATATTAGGACATTAAAATACATTTCTACAAATGATAACAACTGTATTCATTAACTACCTGTGGATTTAAACTCTCAGTTTTATCCATCCACAGAAACTGTAAGTCAATAGAAGCCTGTAATACCATCAGCATTGTACCAATACATTAACAAGCAAATTCTTGTGCATGGAAGAAAATGTAAAATAAAATAAAGTAAGAATAAAATTAACAAATAGCTTAGAAGCTTGGCAGCTCCACTTGAATGCAACACCTGGATACGAAAACTATTCTCTCTTTAAAGCTCCCAGAGCAATGAATACCTGCAATGAAATGACTGAAGTATGTACTTTTCTTAAAGCCTACTAACACAGAGATTCCGATAAAAAATAGCATTGAATCTAAGTGAAGAAAGAACAGAAGATAGTTCTGTGTGGAAAAAAAATGAACATTTTGTTTGAAGATCTTCCTTAAGATGCCTGCACAAGAAATTTATATGGTAGCATATCTTCTTGCCCTTAGCCCTACACATAAACATAAGTAATGGTTGATACGTCTCAAAATTGGAATACTAAAAATATGCAATTTTTTTTACACCAGTATTGCTGTGACACTACCATTACTGAATTATCTATTATGTAATAACACAGAAGAAAAATTGCTTCACAAACAACACAAAATGAATAGATAGAAAACAAAAGATTGTATACATAATCTATACGTTTACTGTCTGACCCTGAAAAGCCGAGTTCTATCACAAAAGTAATTTTTATGAAGCAAGTTCTGCAGTCAAGTTCAGGGGTTCTAACTTGAAAACTTGTATTAAATCACTGCCCCTCAAAATTCTGGCAAGTGAAAATAAATTATTAAACCGTTCTTAGTGTTTAACCAGTGAAATATAATAAAAGTTTTAAAGCCTTTTTCCTAAGTCAGTCTTTGAAATTAAGTGATCCAATTTACCTCATATGCCTGCTTTCTGACAGCTTCCTTTACATCCATAGTGCGACCTACAATTTTTGGCAAAGTCCTTGCTGATGGAGCAATACACGACAGCACTGCACGCCTTACTTCTGAATTGGAATCATTTTCAAGCAATGTGTTGTAAACTGAAAGTAAAATAGTCATAATAATGTTTTCATAAGAGTTTGAAACATTACAGAAAAACAAAGAATACTAAAAAAAAAAAAAAAAAAATCAGCAGCTATTATTAAACCCCTTCCTCTGCCCCTGCATATCTCATATGAATTTAGGGAACAGTTTAGGGTCACAACCCCAAGATTTTATGGCAATTACACACTGAGCTATGATCTCAAAAGAAATTCAACTATGAAAATAATACCTGCAATCATAAGTAGGATCTTCAGTTAATAACTCTGAAAATTGCTAGATCCCAACGATAAATAACCACTCTGCCATTTACTGAAAAAAAAAAAAAAAAAAAAAAAAAAAAAAAAAAAAAAAATAAAAAATACAAATGTTGGCTCCTTAAGATCTCTATTCACTGGCTCGACATCTTCATTACCTTTGAGGTAGATCCTCAGATTTTCCTATAAATGGAAAACTGCAATCTCCATTAAGCCTACCAAAACCCAAATAGTATATCTCTTACATAATGCTTTTTGTTATATTCTTGACCCTTCTTCAAAATTAAAAGCAAGAACAAAAAGAATTTAATCAGAGAATATTTGAATTATTCTTCCTGCTCCGAGATGATGATTGACTATGAAATTTATGTGCTCCTAAATAAGCAATGTATAAACAAACACTGAAAAAATATAATTTCAAAGAAGGTACCTTAACAGCAACAAAAAAAAACCCCCAACTAACTAAATTACACTCTTCACAAAAGACAGTATGTAAAGTTTAATCAGGGCACAATTTACATAACAACAGCTGTGCAGGTAAAAACCTACAGTCCCTCTACCTTGAAGCAATGGAAGTAGAGGCTTAGTCAAGAATCATACCACACACAAAGAAACCCACAAACGGCACAAAGACAGCATCAAGAAACCTGGGTTCCATCGGTGCTGATCTCTTAAAGGAAGTGATACGTAAATAAGAAGAGATGGGGGGGCAAAAAAAGCATAGGTCAACATCAGTAACCAGTTTGCCTCTCATGTGGCAGACAGCCATAATTTGAGACAAAATTAGTTTTTCTGTTATCATCTGTACTCCTCTAGGTGTTTTTGTACAAATTGAACAGAATTAATAGTACAAAGGGGTCCTTAGAGGGTAAGAACTGAGCAAGCATGTATCATACCTCCACTCCAATTTGCAAAACACTATTATTCTCACCATCCTTCAGCTGCATTCAGTCCATAGAATAGCCTGAGCCCAATATGATTTGTCTGTTGTTTAATCCCCAGTGGATCTCTCCTTCAAGCAGTTCTGTCTTTTCCCCTTGAACATACACAACTCTTGCATCTACAACCTCCTCTGGCAAAGAGCTCCACAGTTTATGAACTATTACAAGAATACCCTCTACGATTTGTTTACTCAATGCTTAAAAAAACTCTTAGAACTGTTTTAAAGAAATGTAAATCAACAAACATTCTTAAACAAAAGAAAAAACCCAATACTACTTACTATTAACAACAGGACAGTTTTCATCCTTAGGATCCTGAAGTCTCGACAGGGCCAAGACAGCTTGAATTCTCACATTCGAAAATTTGTCTTGAAGTCTAATCAGCATAGCTTCATTAATTTGATCAAATAAGTCATCATCAATCTGGGCATTCTCTGGCATATTTCCCAAAATCTTATTAACAAGCTGACATGTTCGAAACCTAACTGCATGGCTGTTTGCAGTGTGAGACTTAGGGAGATTATGAAAAAAAAAAAAAAAAAAAGTCTTCTTATAATCACACTTCTCTCATTTCCAACATAAGGCTATTAATATGCACATATAAGTAGTTAATATTCTATACAATACATGAAATCTGCATTCCGTATTTCAGAAGCTTCTCCTATTTAAGTTTATTGTTCATAAGATTAAACAGTCACAGAACTGGAAAACTATTATGGCCCATCACCTGTATCAGTGGTACAAAGGAAGAAACATGCTTACCACTCAATGTGCACTACAGTACATTAGCTAACTCACTGCTCTGTCTCCATAAAACATTAGAAAGAAGAAGAAAAAAAAAGATATTAGCAATGATGACTAGTGATCTTGGCCCGATCAATAATTTTTCCACGTCGAAACACTAGTTTAAGAAAATGTAATTCTGATTGTGTTTTCATGCTATTGGAACTGTTAACCTTCTTTCTATGTAACACTTGCAATAAGCAGAAATGAATAATAACTATGCCAACCATACTTGTATGAAAGATCTTTTCATAATTTTACTTATCACAGGAACAGTATAAATTCATTTCCACAACACTTCCACAGTTTCACACTTATAAATGCACCTATAGTAAAGCCTATGACACATCTGACAGCCAAATAAGAAAACAGTTCATATTTTCTCACAGGCCTAAATTTTTAAATCCAGTTGTTGGGTTATTGGGGGGGTGTGGTGGGTTGCTGGGGGGAGGCGTTACTCGTAAAGCACTAGCTTTGCCTTGCTTTCACTTTTTAAGTTCTAGTTTGTAGCTATCATTTCGAGCGCCAGCAAGTTTTCCCCACTGCATTAAGTTTCCATTTGTTACGTTAAAGATTTAATAATGTGTTACTGTACCTGAAGCAGAAAGTTAAACACATAATTCAGAAGTAAATTATCTTCTTCTCCCTCCTCACAACCATCCTCTTTCTCCATTTGATAAAATGAAGTAACAAATTTAGCCACAAAATTGATAACTTGTTCCACTGCTGGTTCCCGTCTGTAGACTATCATAGCATACTTAAGGAAATGAATGAATTTTTCATGAAAATCCTCCTTATCTTCCAACTGAAAAAAAATAAAAATCAAACCACAACAAAAGATAACTACCCAGTTCATCTTTCAAAAGCAGTACGACCGAAAAATAAACGGTTTTATAATTGACAGCTTCCATTTAAATTTTGAAAGCGCTAAAGCCAGCAGTTAGGGCACACCCACTGCTGTGCACTCTTCACTGAATATTTTGCTTTAACTCCGCAGCAGGCATACGTCTTGACCACTGGGCTCCTTCCTGGCGTTTACATTTACCTGCTAACAGGTTTCAGACCGGCAATCGACACCCCCATCCGTTATTATCCTGTGTCACACCTACTTCCCGGGTATCCAAACACCCCCCAGCAACACCATTAATACTTGCCGTGGGCTGTTCTTACGCCCATGTTCGCAACTATGTATAACAGTTTAGCATATGGCTTGTTTTTGGTTTGTTTGGGTTTCTTTTTTAAGTCGCAGGCTCTTCTCAGTCATACCGGCCCCAACGCTTGTTTTAGGGGAACCAAGGCCGAAGAGGCTCCCTGCCCTCTGAAGGAAAAACCGAGCAGCTGCTGAGCGCCCTCATTTTCCCCTCAGCCTGGCGGGTCACCAGGGGACCTCCTCCCGGCCACCGGCACGCCCCGAGGGCAGGCGTACCTGGTTATAGGTGTTCTTCAAAGACACAACGAGCTTCGCCTGGTTCTGGTGAGGCTTCTGGGCCAGCTGAAAGGCTTCCTTGATTTGCAGAAGCTTCTTTTTCGCTCCCATGGCTGCGGAGAAAGGGGACGGTCACCTCACCACTGCCCTGCTCCGGGCTCCCGTAGCGCAGAGCCGCCCAGGGAAGGCGGAGAGCTGCTGCTCCCGCGCAGGGCCCTGCAGCAGCAAGGCCACTCCTAACGGCGGGGGGGGCCGCCGACCCAAAACACCACACAGCCCACCCTAGCCCAAGCA